AAAAAAAAAAAGAGCACTGGAATAGTATCATGTTTTAATCGAATTCTTCGTTTTATTTTTCATTTTTTCACCTATACAGAAAAAAAAAATTTATTATCTATTCTTTCTTTTTCTTTTTTTTTTTCTGCAATTTTAATTTTATATTGATTTATTGTACATTTAACAATGTAAACAGCAGTAATCTACTGAGAGAACCTATCAGAATTTATCAAATTTTTCCCTTTGCTTTCTTTTAGAAATATTACTTTTTGCCAAAATATATTTGCCTATCGGTTTAACACTACTTTTTTTGCTTTTTCCTCTACCGATTATAATGACATCAGTTTTGTTTTGAACTCTTTATAATTTTTTTATTTTTGACTTATAACGCAACATTCACAGGTTATTTTTAGGAAGCAGTAAAAAAGATTTTCTAGATTGTAATGAAAAAAAAAAAAAGTAGCCAACAGTGTTTAAAATTATGGTCACTGGTGTAAAAATTGTTGAATTTTGAATAAAATTTGTTGATTTTGATAACTTGTTCTTTTTCCTTTTTTTTTTGACTCGACTGATGAAAACAGACTTTGGGTATTTCTCTAGCTTTGCGCATAAATATCTGTAGAAATTTTCTGACTATTATCATTGAAATGATGATTTGGTACAACAAAAAGGGTTTTTGGTGATCTGTAGAAATGTTTAGCTGAAAATGAGAAGCAAATGGTTTCAAATATTCACTTTTCCTTTTATTGTCAGTTTATAATCACAGTTGATTGCTTGAACAGCTTAATTGTATATTCTATTGAAGGCTGCTGGTAGGAGCACCAAGGGCAGAATCTGGCCAACCGGGAACTAAACAGGCTGGTGCAGTGTTTGCTTGCCAGGTTTCGGCGACTTATACTAACTCGTTAGCTTTTTTTATTTTTTGATTTCCATTTTAGTATGTACGAAGCTTATCATTTGTTTAACAAAAATGTAGACAAACCTCTGTTTTTTTTTTTTCGAAATGCACAGTAAAAAAATCTGAGTAACTTTTCTTAAAGGATACAAATATTGTTTAACTCTGGGATACTTTCATATGTGTATTATATGGGAAAAATAGTAAAAAATTGTCTTTTCAGGGGACCACAGTGGTGTAGGCAGCAGTTGGTGGAATACAGCAGATATGAAGAGTTTAATAAAAATTTAACTTATGATAGATCGCACTATCCTCACTTTGTCCATCCAGAAGGAAAGGATGGTCAATTGCTTGGAACAGTGGTTGTTTCATCAGCAATAAGTAAAGGAGTTGCTGGTCGAGCAGTTGTAAGCATTAATGGTCTCTTTTAGATTACCCGGAAAAGAACTTTTTATGTGCTAATCTTGAATACTGCTCACATACAATTTTTTATTTTTGTAGCTAGACGATATTTGTTACTATTCTTTAGGCATGTGCACCGTTGAAAAGGTATTATAGTGCTGCCTACACAGAAGGCGAATGCTTTGTCTTGAATGAAAATTTGACACTTATTGTACGTTTTTTGTCAATTCTACTTTTTTTTTTTCACATTTTTTTTTTAGCTACTCTGTATGATAGTTTTTATGTATGAACAGATGTTGAATCTCTTTTCCACTGTGATATTAATTTATCGAGCTTACGCAAAATTTTAAATATGAGATATTATTGCAGGATAGTCTTTTGCCTTGTCAAAGTCTGTCACATACGGATCGGCACAATGATTATGGTTCTTGTATGGAAGGCTTTTCAGCTTATGTGGGAAGTTACTCTTTGAAGGATAATCCTACTGTTGATATGGTAGTTACTGGTAGGTTTTTGTGGTTATATTACTTTTTTTCCAATATTCCTCTGGTTAAAAATTTTATTTTTCTGTAACAGAAGGAAGAAATCAAAATTTTAACATTGCAAAATAAAAACCAGCTTGTCTAAGGAAATTTGAAAGTCTACAGCTGAAGTGATTTTTTACTCGTTTTTAGGCAGCTGTTGATATTGTTCATTAGCTATTTTTAAAATGATTTATATTTATTAAGGGAAGGCGATTCTGTTTATTTACGGAATTATGGCGTCAGGAAGCTATTTTACCTTATTAAATTTGAAAATTTATAGGCTTACCTGGAGCCAGGAAGTGGACAGGTGGGGTTGCTGCAAAAACCTATCCGAAAGATCTTTATGCGAGCTCGAAAGAAAGTCGTTCTATGGCAGTTGGTGAGGGAGGAATATTGTCTAAACTACAAGCTCATGACTATCTGGGTTATTCGGTTACAAGAGGGAGATATGGTTTTTGGTACAAAAATTTTAGGATTATTTAGTACTTTTTTGTAACAGACTTCCTAACTGTTTTCTTACCGTCAAACTGTTTCAACTTGTAACATAATTTTTTTTGACCGTGTGGGATGATTTAAGGCATGAAGACGGAGGGAGTTCAACAATCGCGTCTGGAGCCACAAGACTTTATGAGCGTGGTGCCGTGATCTTTCTTCCTTTACTGTTTGAGCGACAAGGAACGAGTGAACTGAGGCTCACCGAGGACTCGTTTATCATTAACGGAACACGTCTCGGTTCTGGTTTTGGCTATGCAATTGCCACTGTTGACTTAAATAATGACGGGTAACTTTCGTTTTCTCGGTGGAGTAAGGTTTAAGCTAGTGTTTTAGCACATTCCTTTGCTGTTCAAAATTGTTTCTGGCAATATTTCAGTTTCGATGACCTTATTGTGGGAGCACCTTTTGAATATTCGGGAAAAATAACAGAAGGTGGTGCAGTCTATGTATACTTCTCATCCGGAGTGAAACGTGGCAAATTTGAGAGCGCTAAGGTTTTCTTAAAACCCATTCGTATTCTTGGTAAAGGGAGCTACTCACAGTTTGGTGCTTCAATAGCGCCTTTGGGGAACATCGATGGTGACCCACACCATTTGAATGGTAACTTTTTTTTAAATATTGGTGTTATGGCAAAAATTGCCATTCAAACATCAAATACTGTTGTTTTCAGACTTTGCTGTTGGTGCTCCCTTTGCTGATGGTGGTGGGAGCGTGTTTATTTACAGCGGAGCTAGAACTCCAGAAGAATTCAATCGTGATGCTGAGCAGGTATTTATTAGTGATTGTTTCGTTCCATCTACAGTGTAGGCAAACTTACTTTTTATTACTAATTTCTTGCATTAATGAACGTTGGCAAATTTCTTTTAGAGCTCTTTTAACGTCGACTGACGGCTTTTTTGTTCACTGTATTAGAGATTTTACAATACTTGTAGGACTCATAGTATTATAGCTTTACGTAAATCTATTATATTTTGCTATATTATCTGCTTATAGGAAATTAGTGCTAGGAATCTGGCAAATCTCTTTCCTGGTCGGGGCGACCTGGAAACTTTTGGTTTCTCGTTGTCTGGTTTAACAGATTTGGATGGGAATGGTTATAACGATCTGTTGGTTGGTGCATATGCGTCCGATGCCGTAGTTCTTCTTCGAGCTAGACCTGTAATAAACATTGAGGCATGGCACGTTGAGAAGGATATGAAAATAGATATTAAAAAACCTAATTGCCCTGAGAAAGCAGCCACTTGGTAAGCATAGTTACACTGTCCTTGTTATTGATATTTTTGTGGCTTGAAAATGCTGCGTTGAGTAATGTGCTTTTTTTTCTTCTAATATTTTGGAAGTATCAAGTTTTTAATGCATCTAAGCGATTCTTTAGGAATTGTGGAATGAACCTTAATTGAAAATACTTATATAGTGTTTTGAATTTAGTTTCAATATAACTACTGCCATATACGTTGATCCAAATTTCACAAATACAAAACTATTGGATTTTGCCACTGATGTATTCAACTGCACGTTACAGGTCAGTTTAAGTTTTTCGAGTAATTATTAAGCTATGATCAGTGCTTGGAAAGGTAGTGGGTGCTTGATAATAGTAACATGTGTTTTTTAAAAGTACAGTTGAACGTTTGTCATATGTTTGTATTATCCCGATACCTAGATACAAATCAGAAAACCTATCTTTTTCAAGTTTATTAATGCTTCACAGTTTTAGGTGATGGCTTTAGAAAAGGGTGTTAACACTAGAGCTAAAATTTTGTTTTCACGATCAGATGAGTATTCTTGGAGCTGTGGACGTAAAACAGACCTGAGAGAACAAAGGCGTTCGATTCCTGTCTACGTACCAGTGAGTGACGTTGTCTACAGAAACTTTAGTAGAGTAATTTTGAAGGGTGAAGATGCAGTTTGCAAACGTATTATGCAGTGCTAATAAAAATTACCCGTTTCCTTCTGAGCGTAGAAGAAATATAATAATTATTTAGAAATTTTTAGAAACTATTGGATATTAATACCACTAATAACTAACTTTTTCAGAGGGCTAACACTGATTTCATCAATGCTTTAAAATTCCGCTTCTCAGTGAAAATTCGTGATCCCTCTACTCCGAAGTTTCCAAAAAATGGTGGCAAAATAGTAGACTTGAATAAGTATCCTGTTTTAAACAAATTCGGTTCTGAGCATGTGTTTACCGTGAGTCTTCTTTCAGTGTAGTCTAAGACAATCTTTTAAATTTGCTATGATAAATTAAAAACAGTTGAATGTATTTTCATGTTCTCAAAGGCTCAGACTTGATTTTGAATTATTATAAACACTCTTATGCGTTTGCAGTGAATTGTTTTGGTTTCTATCCATAGCGTTTCAGATTCCGTTTAACAAAGAATGTGGAAGTGACGACGTATGTTTGTGCGATTTGGTTCTAAAACCAGCCCTTACTGGAATTGCGTAAGTTGTCGGCTAATAAAACTAAATTCTTTATGATGTTTATTCGTGACCTTTCCTTTCTTTCTTTTTCCTTCAGATTTGCCACAAACTTTGAGTAAAACAAATTTAGGCAAGAAAGAGACGGCACGTATGTCACACAAGTGAATGAAACAGCTGCAATAAACATAACCTTCTCGGTCACAAATGTTGGTGAAAAAGCATACGAGACGACCCTTTATGTCGATTATAACAGTGCTGAGTTAGAAATTCCAATTGTGAAGAACAGGAGAGGTGGTATAGTTAGCATCAAAGCTACTGCCGCAAATCTTACTGTAATTTCGCTGGGAAATCCTGTGGAACCTGAAAGCACTGTAAGCTTTTGTAAAATCAGTACTTGTTTCAACAAAAAAAGACGAATATTCATGAGAATTATTCAATGAGTTTACCAACTTTACCAAGTATTGTGAGGTTTCCGCCAAATAATATTTTTTTGTGGCTATGCCATTTAATAGTTGATGTCAGGCAACTGTTTTCTAATGAAACTAGTGTTAGCGTACTAAAACGTTTAACTTCTATTTTTTTTAAAACTGAAAACACTTCTCGTGTACATGAAGTTACGACTGGAGAAAAAGAAAATTGAAAAGCTTGACATTCCGGTATACTGTTGGCTCCTGGAAGGCTGTTGAGGCTGTTAGCAAAATTAAAACAGTTGGAGGCTTTACTTTGCTACTTTTGATGCGCATAATTCAAAGTCTGAGCTGCAGTGGCGAAGAAAATGAGACTTGATTCATTGCCGAGCATTCCGAACAAAAAAGACTCGGCAAAATTGCTGAAGTTGAATACTGAACTACGGCTCTCTTCACTGCAATTTCCTTGCTGTTTACCAGCTTGTTCACTCTGTAAAACCTGAGGTGAGGAAATGGATGCAGGAGGTATGGGTAGGTAGAAGGTGCTTTTAGCAAATTTGTTGCTTCTCAAGATCCGATTTTTGTGTAAGGAGTTATCTAGCTGTCTGTAAAAATGTGTAGAGCATGGTGACTTTTACGAAGAAACATAGTGAGAGGAGTCATAGAAAGTTTGGTATGCGAATAACCCTGCTCATTAATCGACCTGATAT